CATAGAAGGGCAACAGGTAGAACTCGGGCACTATCGCGGCCGGGGTCTGCAGGGGATTAGCAGGCACGTAATTCTCAGGTTCCCCGAATGCGTTGGGCATAAAGAACACGAAGATAGATAGCACTAAGAAAAAAGCAAAGAAGCCCACTAGATCTTTAAATGTAAAATACGGGTGGAAGGGTACACGGTCAAGCTTAGATGAAATCCCCAGAGGATTGTTAGAGGCATCAACGTGCAGGGCGATAAGGTGCATGACAGCTAAGGCGGCTAGAACAAAAGGCAAGAGATAATGGAGTGAGAAAAACCGATTTAAAGTAGCATTATCAACTGAGAAGCCCTTTTTAGGTGTTAGAATTAATCATATGCAACGTTGCATTTTCGCGTGAATTCGTTGAGGTCTGCTATAAAGCTTCCCTGCTGATTGCTTTCTCTCTCTGCTGTGTTACTTCTCCTCTTCCTCCGGAGGGGTTGGCGCCTGGGGGTGCCGGAAGTACCCATCATGTCGCCCCGGAATCGGAGGGTGTGATAAGTCAGCAAAGCCAAAAGTTTTCCAGCATATAGCGAAATTTTGTTTTACATCTGGGGCAGTTTCTCTGTAATAGTTACAGGGGCGAGGATTACAACCAAATTAGTCTATCAGAGGCTAAAGCGATGTTAGAATCAGCTATGGAGAACTTTACATTCCCTGAGAACTTCAATTATGAAGAATTTCGGCAATTAGCAAATGGATTCTTTCAAGCTGAGGGATGTGTTTCAGCTAGATTAAAAGGTTTACACATTTCACCGTTAGTCGTATTAACGCAGGATCTATCTAAAGAAAGTCTAGCCTTCTTTGTCACGCATTCAACCATGCTATGGAAGAGGTGATACAAAAGGTACCGTCGTGGCTTGGAAAGTAAAGTTCAATAGCAAACTTGGACTTAAGGATAAACAGTTCGCCTTTTCTAAACACGGAGGTAGAGACTCAGCTCTAGCAAAGGCTGTTGAGTGTGAGATACACTCATTCAGAACCTAATCAATAAATTATCTTCATAATAACCCCCTCCGCACTACTGATAAATAAGAAATTATCGTATTCAGTGTATTAGAAGAGGGTAATATAATTGTATACAATAGGATATGTGTTATTGACTAGGTGTAGTAGCAATGCTCGCCGCTATCCTTATTCTGTTTGCTATGCCTCTTCTTGATATCTCCCGAGTGAGATCAGCTGGGTTCCGCCCTCTGATGCGATTCTTGTTTTGGCTCTTTGTGGTTAACTTCCTGGTCCTTATGTGGATCGGCTCTCAGCACCCCGAGCCTCCGTTCGTAACGCTAGGGCAATTCTGCACTGGCTTCTACTTCGCTTACTTCTTACTGTTTGTTCCACTCCTTGGTTTAATTGAAAATTCGTTCTTCGACCTAGCTACTGACCCTTCTTCATCATCTTA